TAACGTGAACGATTGACTGTAACTTTTTGAACGGTTTTAAGGAACCGAGAGGTGAAGCTGTCTGATGAAAGAAGCGGTACGTCACCAGTGGACGATAAAAACTTGAAACTGTTTTATATAAATATTGTTTTATATAAAAGGGGCATTTTGGATTACTAGAAACGGGTTATTCCGGTGATTGCGAACGGTTAGTTTATGTTCACATAAAATTCAATCTTTATTTTACACTTTTGATTTAAAATATCAAATAATAAATAATGCCATTAGCAGCTTAAAAATCGCAGCTTTTTATATTCATAATATATGTAAACTATAGGATATATGTCAAATATAGGATATTTTTATGTTTATTATAAATATCGGATTTTTGCGCACCCCGATTAAAATTGCTACATAATGTTAATACAAAGTTGTATATGACAGCATGAATACCTTTCAAATCTAAAACAATAAGCACTCTAACACCTACAGCAAAAGATTTAGTTTAAGATCTAATAAATTTAAGGAGTTGTTAACAAATAATGGAGTAAGATAGGGGATTTCTATCGTCAGCTATATAAAAACTAATTTGTTGAAAAGAAACGTGTTCGTTTGAGCGCCATAAACTTGCTTGGACGTGGACGGTGAAGTAAACAGACTTATTGTACCGAAATAAATGTTAAGATATTTTTAACGTTTAATTGATTATAAAATACAGGTGATTCTTAAAATAATAATACAGTTTAATAGTAATCCCAGAAGTTGGATAATTGGAATGATCACTGGGTTTTAAATAAAAATAAAAACTTCTTTGTCCTTCAGCCAGATAATAGAAAAATGTTAGATACTTAAGTACATATTTATTTGCTTTAATTTAACAATAAATGGCTTAGATAATAAGCTGAGTAATGGAGGCTCGCCACGTCACAACTATGTAGAAAATTTAGAAAGGTGTAACGTAGTAAAAAAAATTTGTGATTGATATTTTTAATCATTAACAATAATTAATCATCATCCATATTTTTCAGATTTTTCTGTAAAAACTAAGATTTAAAATGTTTTCTAGCTAAAATCCAAACTGTCCCACCATCGTTGGTCGTTCAATTCGAACCTTTAAATCTTAGGATTTACATCTGTGACATGGCAATTTTAAAGAAGAAAGATTTAATTGTTTGTTTACTTGTATTAAAATAGGCTCCAAAACTATTGGGTCGGTTTTAAAAATTCTTTCACCTTGGAGAAATTATATAATACGAGGGTGACGTAAGCTATAATTTATGCGGGCGAAGTCGTGAGGAAACAGCTAGTAAACTTCTATATTCAAAGAGAAACAAATAAAACAATAATAAAAACACAAATTGCCTTTAATACATCAGATAATATGTAATTTATTTTTTGTAAATAAATCCCGGTAGCAAGAGATGGCGACACCTTGAAACCGTTCGCTTTTGAATTTTGACATTGTTTTATATCTAACATTTTGACGGTACATTTTCATATTACCTATTAGTTCGATAAAAAGTAGGGTATATGTTCATTTTCAGGTAAGAATTATCTGTATCCTATCACTACATTTTGGCAAGTTCTGTCCTGTAGTTTTTGTGCGAACACTTTCCACGCAAACTTTTGCATTTTTAATATTAGCAAGAGCTATAGAATAAAGGGAGAATCATTATAGAATACGTTATATCTATGTATTTACAGACTTTATTCTTAGTTATCAGCTTGATTGACAGTTTGTCTTTACCTCTCCAGTTGACTGATAGTACGTATCAAGTAATGAATGTAGAAATGAAAAATAACGACTGTCCTCATTTTTTAGGCAGCAAAGTCGTAAATAATAAATACGATTTCAGAAGACATTTTATTACTTAGAAAAGTGCCAATTTGGTCTCCCGGCGTCATTACATTCGATTCGAGTGTCATATTGCGAATTCGACCGAATGAGACTTGATTTACTACATGTATTTTTAATATAAAAATATGCGGTGTGTAAAATAGTGTGATTTAAATAATATAATATAATAAGTGAAAAGACCATTTACCAAATCATAAAAGAGTTTATTACGCTTTCTATGAAATGCTGTCTAGATCCACTTGGTAACAACCATATCCCCGTTAAAATGTAAAAGTGGTCAATATAATAAAATAAATAGGATGTGGCGGTGTACGCTACAGACGGACAGTCGTTAACATGTTTTAGTGGCGGTTCTCTAATTAACTTCGTTTTTCAATTACCGTGTTTTCGGAACGTAACCTACTTTTTATATGCACTCTGGCAGTTCAGCGGGCAATTTTGGGATTTTTGTGCCGCGGAAACTCTATTGGGTGGAAGATAATTTAGGGTTAATGGATAAAGAAAATATGGAATGGGTAATTTGGAAGTATTTTGCAAGCTCATGATATTTGGTGATGTAGGTTCTTTGTTGGGTGAAGAAGTGTAGTTTCTAAGTGGAAATATTGTTTCTAGCATCGACATAATATACAATAATTTGAAGTACTTACTAATCGCTATGTTATAATTATAAAGAAAAGCTTTGCGCCTTCATTCATTCATTCAGTTAACATACAAACTCCTCCTGTTAGAATGTATGAATTTTGACCTGGATTTCACTGTCAGATAGCGAATTTCAAACCAAAAACTAAAAACATTGAAAAAAAAAGGAAAGCTGTTAAGTTTCTAAATTAATAAAAAATAAAAGTTTCAAGTGGTTACATGAAACTGAGAGACATAATTTGTATAAGAACCTAATCAATAATAAAAATGAACTAATTCCATTCACCAAAATTCGAAAATTTGAAGTCAAAAATACTCTGTCAAAATCGTTGTATCAATAGAGATATAAAAAAAAATTATTCAGTAAAAGAAACAAAGTATTTGGACAATGAACTTATACATATTTATTTTAAAGCGACAACAACAATAAGTTCATAACTACTGTGTGGGTAATACAATATTTGACAAAGAAAAATAAATAGGCAAAGGAAAATCGTGAACATTGCGTGATTGGAGCTTTTTCCTGACAGTTATAATTATCTAAGGTTACAAGTAAATTGCTTTATTTCAACGTTAATTTCAAATGATCGGAATGTTCGATAACGGAATCCTAATTGCTACTACCTCTATTATGTGAAAGTTTTTGTATGGGCCGTTTGCTCCTTCACGCGGAAGGAAAAGGACGGATTTCGATCTTACAAAGAAGATAGTCCTAAGTCTACATAACGTGAAGACTTTTTATTCGGTTCTCTATATATTTGCAAAAAAAATTATGACACAGTTTGACACTGAATAGTTTTGTATATATTAACTATATTTACGTCCAACAGCTTAAGCATAATTTCTCTAAGTAGGTTTAGTTATATTGAATAACAAAACATCTTTAAATTTTAGCTGTGTTGAAATTATTATTATTATTTAAGCGTAATCTACAACATCATCACGCTGGCCCGATGCGAATTGGTGGGTACTAACAACTGCAAATGCAGCCGGCAGCAATGGCTCAACGTATGGAAGCACGGAGGAGTTTGAGATATTATTTTTTTGGGTCAGCCATCCTATGACCAGCTCTTGCGAAAATGACTTAACGACTGTATCGCAGATCAAGAGCTCTAGCTACTGCGCAACTTTTAAGATATGTAATTATTTTGATAAGATACTTTCACATTTCTTTAAATAAATATAAAAATATGACAACTCCATAGATCCCGAATTGAGTGTCTTGGACACGAGATAACATAGAAAGGTTTTTGACACATTTTTAGCATACACGCAAACAATTAGTTTGTTATGATAGATAAATTATATCATGGCCCTATCACAAATAAAAGCTCTGTTACTTTAATATCTTTATTATACCGTATTACAGGCAAATGATGTTGAGTCGCCAAATTGTTTAATTACGTGGTGACATCGAATTGACGCATCTGTCATGACACGCAAGCACGCACGGATATACTAGTGGCTATAATTTTTACATCACTATCTCGGATAAAATTTTCGATTATGTGGTGACATCGAATTGACGCTCCTACACGCAAGCACGCATGGATATACTAGTTGATATGCGTTGTCACATCACTATCTCGGCTCTACATTGCTCTAATCTCACATACCTACACTTCAAGCTTAATCTTATTTATTGATACTCTGTTACGGTGATCAGTGGAATGGATTAAATGACGTTGATAAAAGTTTACATATACACGGCGTAGAGAATGGATATCATAAAAATTTATGGTTGGTATAAAATACAATTATGGTGGAGTTCAATATACGTTATGAAAATTAGAAAAGTAAAACAAAATTACAGATCAGATTATGAGATTTCAAATGAAGGTAATATGTTATATGAAGTACACCGCATAATGAAGTAAGAAAATTCATCAAAACAAAAAAATGCCCGAAAATGTAATCTATGCTTTTGTGATTCCGATGAATTTAAACATTTTAGCATGTCGAAAAAAGAGACGGCTCTAACTATAAGTTGAACTACTATACGTCGAATTAACGATTCTTACTGTAAGTTAGAATCGATGATCAAGTCATACACAAATTTGAATACATACCTACGTAGGACTAGCTTACATAGTATAGACGACAGTATATTTAAATACAAATCTATGGTGAATGAATCAACACGTGAATAGAATAACCGTTAATCTAATAGTTTTAAACCAAAACAAACATCAACCGGCCTTAATGAATCGGATGTTAATATGAGTCCGTGGGTAGAGTTGAACGAGGGTGCATCACGCACGTGGCGCTGCGATACGATTGGACTTAATACAGTTCCCCTCCAATCTAGTCACCGGAAACCAACCTAAAACGCTGGTATGACTACAGAACGACTTAACGGTCTGATAAAGTACTATGGTAGTATAATCTGTTGAATGCATTCTTGATTCTTATATCGCTACTTTTCTCATACATTGACTGGCTGTAGACGCGGGTCGCAGGGCGCGGGCGGGGGCGGGAGCAGCCGGCGGGGCGGGGCGGGTCGCGCGGCCTCTCGTCTCGCGTTAGTATAGCGCTCAGCGAGTGTCGGACGCTCGACTATATAGTCGACGACCTTAGTATTCTTCGTTTTTCTTTTCTATTCGTTTAATTTACCGCTCGGACCTCAGGACTTTTAAACATGAAATGTGTCGTCCGTGAGTGAGTTCGGGTGTTGCTATGTTCAACCGGTTTTTATTTTGACAGTGTCAACATCACGTGCGGAATCAAATTATTACCGGTTCCGGAGTTTTCAAGTGTTTATAATACATACGAGGCCTTCGATTACCGCAGGTAGAGTTTGCCTGATTGTCAAACGGTGCGATAGTGTCTCTAAGTGATAAATAGGTACCCACGTAAAGAAGTCTCACTGGTATAACTGGTAAAGTTTATGGTGGTTTGCCTTCGGTGTTGTTTAACGGAAAAGTTCGCACAGTTCTATTCTAATAGGACTCTTCTCGGAAAGTATTGAGAAGTGCGTGAGTCGGAAAGTGAATTCTTGACGTGCTTACAACTTAAAAACATAACCTATTTCAAAGTGGGCGCGTGTTGTACGGGCATGCGCAGTTCGGACCATACAAATTATTAATAAGTGCTTCATAATTTTATAAACAAACATCAACGTTGTGGTTACACTGTGCTGTGGTGCGTCGTTAAGTATAAACGCACGAGTGTTTGCCGGTTCCGCGCCGACAGTCAACGGATCACATTAAAATATTTTGGATTTTTTAAATTGAAGATAACGTTCACCTGTGGGATTTCGGTGTTTTACCTGCGCGCGCAAGGAATCTCTTTACAAGGTAAGTTTACCTTGTCGGTGCCACCTCTCGTATGCATTTCAAACATCTAACCGGTTTGTTGATTACTAGAAACACATTAGGTGGTCTTAATGCTTAAGGCATTATCTTTTTAACAATAAAATTTTGGAGATAGATTGTTAAATGAAGTTTTTGTTTCATCTGCATAAACTTCTACATTGAAATGTTTATTATTATAATTAAAACGCATGGCTTTGAATCAAATGACTACTTTCCTAGCAAGTTTACTGTTCAGATAAGGAGGTACCGAGCCGCTTTTATTTATATCATATTTTTAATCGTCTCTTTCTTTTAATCGTCTTATCCTATGAGGGTGGAACAGATCTTTAAAATGTAACTGAAGGCTATTATCCTTTTTTTATTTTTGCCCATTATGCTTATTAGATCCCAACTGAAGTATGCACATATTTAGTTTTGAAATCTGAAACAACGAAAGTACCACAACACCGAAATCCCAGACAATATAGAAAATTCATATTCTATATTCTATATCTCGACTGTGAATCGAACCTATGACTGATGGTGACATTGAAACTTGTGTGCAAGTCATACCTCCACAAGGGTCGTCGGACCATTAGGCGCTTCTGGCGTGTTTTAGATAAGATTCCGATTCCTACACCATCGACGAAATGGGGCACTGATCTTTGCGACTCTTCGCTCGAGTAATACGTTGTTGACTTGTTGCTTTCATCGTTACACTGTTAGAGTCGTTGTAAATCCTACGGAAAGGTCCGTCAAGCGCTTTACATATGCGTTAGTATGCTATAGAATTTCTGTTGAGTATGCATGGATGAATGTTATTGAATTTCATTATCATTTGTCAGTTCCATGACCCACGAAACACAACGTATCTTCCGTCAGATATGCACCGACCCTTAATCCTTCTCTGTCGATTTTCACGACTTTCGGCTGGTGAGAAACAGCTGACCTATTGTTTCGCTTCTAGGTCATTAGTGGAGAATTATAAATAGAATTCTCTAAATGGAAGAAATAAAAGAATAACAAAGCACTCATTTTTCTGTGTCAAAATCTTTTTACTGAAACATGACGTCACCGAAGTAGCGCAACAAAATTTCGTCTTATTAATAGAAATACATGATATCAACGAGAAAGAATTTTTAAGACAATGTCTCTGATTTGTTTACGAAGAATTTATTTTTACGCTTTTTGTTTATTTACCCTTTTTGGTTGAATCGGCAATACGAACCTTTTAGTATTCCATTTATTTAATTGAATGAAAGTAACAAAACTTCTTGGAGCCCGAACCACTTTTCCTTTCTTGAAACGTGTTTGGATACACCTTTGGGCCGGTATGGTTAATAATACCCACACTTTTATTCCCAAATGTTGCATATTTTACATTTATCTAAAGATTTTATGTATAAGTGAATAAACATCGGACTTTCAAGGTGTCTAAACTCTAAAGACCAAGGTAAGTAAGGAATACTTTAGTAAGTATCGCATTCCGTGAAAAGCTTGGCACGGACAAGTGGCATGGCGACAATGTAAAGGCAGTAAGGCACTCATACCGATATAGGTAACCATCTACTCCACCTTGAATTTTTATTGAAATTTCGTATGAAAATAGGACAAATAATAGTTTAGCGTATAACATTCTTTGTAGTAGATTTACTTTAGTGACCATCACTACTTATTAATAATCATTACGTTAATCTGAAATATTAATATAAAGTTTAAAGTAGAAAAAAAAAACAATGATTATTTAGTGATGCGTTTCAATTTTGGAGACACTATGAAAGATGACGAAGTAGTACGTGCACATATTAATCTGAGAAACGATTTATTAACATTATCGTAATCGGTTAACCCTCACAGAGACGGTTCGAATTCCACAATTCCAAATGTGCGTAGGCGGCAAATTTAATTATCTCAAAGTATTCATCAAAATAGATAAAGCGTGTAACACCTAAACGATTTCAGTGACATGAGCTTAATATTGCCAAGTATATTGTTCGCTTCTAAGCATCTGAATTAAGCGTGGTCATTGTCTAAAAACTTAATACCACTTTTAGCTGGGTTATTATTCAGATTTGGACCTTAGAACATCGTTAGTAGCATTTTTAGCTTTTTATATATATTTTTATAGCTATCACTGTTGGTATATTTTTTAAGTTGGTCTACGAGTAGTACTGGTGTTTGCGAGTTTTTTAATCTATAAGAAATTGCTAATATATACACAAAATTAAATTTTTTTGACGTTGCAAATAACACAAGGATGCACCCAAAGCCGAGCTACTGCTGGTGAATTATTTAAGCATAGACAGGGTCCTAAGTATTTGCAGTTGTCTATACATTTGGCTATACAGTTGGTAGCATTAAGCAGGTAGCTTAATGCCCAGACAGGTGCTTTTGGGCATTAAATACATAGTATTCACAAATGTCATATTGATCGTAAAAATAAAAAAAACAATAAACTGTATATTCCTAATACGAAATGGGTACTTTTCATTATATTGCAACATGAAAATTCCCTGATTTTTAAAAAGTTATGTTCTTTAAAACGTGAAATATCTAGTATATACATATGTTCATATCTTTGTGAATATTGAAAATTTAGAGGTATATCAGGCACTGTGACTTGACAGGGGTGATTTTCGACTCATGAAAAGTATTAGAATGATAGTTATTTACAGGATTACTACCTATATTATTGCAACAGTACCGTATTATTAGGGACTCGATAAATATAACGTACGTGGCAGCAATTCAGTAAACAACAATAATTTCTAATATTAATGGCCATGGAAGTTTAAAACAACTTATAATTAAAAGTAATTTGTGTAATGTATGGCCGTATATTTTTTTTATGTCAGCCCTGTACTCAAATTCTAATTTCATACTGTAAAAGAAACAAAGAAAAAAATATTTATATCTGGGTAGAAAAAAATATTTAGTCCGTCAGCCAGATAATAGAAAAATATTAGATATTTTTTTTTAACTTCAATTTAACAGGAATTCAACGTATCGCCGTAATTTAATGATTACGAAAAAAATGAAAAATAATATTTTTCAACAATCAAACTGACGGACAAACAAACGAAACTTAGTCGTCATCCCTATTATCGATGTTGTCTATACTAATATTAAAAAGAGGAAAATTTTATTGTTTGTATCGAAAAAGCTCCGACACTACTGGTAGTGTAGTTAGTGCCTTAAGCATCTAGAATTGAAAAAACTCGAAATCCAATTACTGTCAAAGAATTATTATGAAACCTGTTGAATTGTATTATTGATAAGGTATATTAAAATGTTTACCAATTAAAAATCGTTGCTTTTTATTAAATAATAAAATAAATAAATTAAGGCATATAATATAATACATTACGAGCTTAAGTAATGTAGTGTAAAAATCGTCTTATTAATACATTTCTATCGTATAATATTAAAGGGTAATAGTATGAAACAATAATTGCAACAAAAAAAATACTGTCACCTACTAGTAGCGACATTATTCAGGGTTGACATATGTTATAATTTAGACAATGGTTCGGCCAAGATTTACTTAAGTGCATTCATATCCTCTTGTCCGATTCCGCATATCTAGCATTAGTTTTATTCGCACATTAAAGCTCACCTTCATACATTGTCATAGTAATTCGCACGCCAAGAAACAGACGACCAACACGCGACATGAATTTCATCGATGCCTGTTTGCATGCTCCCCGTTTGATAAAGATTTAAGAATATAAGTTTGATGGCTCTCGTGACTAGAGCCCGATATTGCACTGGCTATCACTAAAGATTTGTCCAGAAGAGGCAAATTCGCCGCGTAATCGGACGCGATTTCAAGACCATGTTCAGTTTTGTGTTACAAAACGCGTCTAATACGTGCGTTGTTTTCGACAGGGTCCTAAGTATTTGCAGTTGTCATAAGAGGTCACGTTCATCAAAAGAACATAGTATGTTCCAATTTGCTGTAAAGAAATCAGTTGTAATTAAAAATTAGAAAACAGCTTTTAATTTCTAACGGTCAGTTGCACAAACGTCCATTAAGGTTTAATGACGTATTTAAGCTCTAATGAATGTCAAATTTATATGGGTAATGTCGCTTTAAATTAATCAACATTTTAATTAATGTTTTTGCAACCCGCTGTAAGGGTTCTAAGATAACCAAAACTTTTATTTCGTAATTAACGATATAAAAATCACAAAGTTATCTCTGAAAATAGTTATCTTTCCATTTCTTCTTTGTTATTATACATTTTTTTTCTCATTGGGAAAATTGATAAATATGTAAATTTTTAGTCAATAGTATTATGAAGAACTTTCACAATAATCGTAATAGTTTGCTAATAATTCATTAAAAATAGTTTCGCCTGCTAGTGTAACGATTCGCCTTCCTCTGAGCTACGGACAATTTCTTATATTTATTTATCTTTGTTGACACGAATTTATTTACTTGAATGATCACATCTATATGTTTTTATCTGTGGTCGACAAATCCTAAAGATAAATTTTATCTCAATGGATTAACCTTATCATACTGCAAGTATTGTGTGATTGACATTTTTTAAGTGAAGCCAAGTTAGACGTCGTCAAGGATTTCTCTTCTGAGAATGACGTCCCAACTCAGAGATATATCACAACTTTATCGACAAAGAATTAGTTCTTATAACTTGGGAAACTTCACTGTACTTACATCAGAGTAGTTTGATTAAACATCAAGTTTTTTTTATCTTTTACCTTTCTACGATGTAAACAGTTACTTCAGAAAGTTATTTAATTAAGTAATGTTGGTTCTTTATGAAAGACATGAAAATACGTTATTTACTGCATTATAAATTCTCTGAAATAAGTGTCGACTACATCTTATTTCAATGAGCTATGTTATTGCCAATTCCAACTTTCGAAAACTAACGTAACACTATTTAAAAAATATTACGAAAACGAGTGAAAAATGTTTAAAAAATATTTATCACTTATAGTCAACGCAAAATAAATCATATAAAATAATAACTCGC